ATGTGTGTATTGCCTGCATGTAGGTAAGTGCACCCGTGTCATGCAATGCCTGTGGAAGTCAGAAGAGGCTATCGGATCCCCTGGGACTGGAGTTACAGACAGTTGTTAGCTGCCATGTGGGTGCTGAGATTCGAACCTGATGTTCTTAACTGCGGAGCCATCTCTCCAGCCCCTTGTTTTCTTTTTTGAGACTGGGTCTCCCTATATCCTGCCTGGCCTGGAACTCACTATGTAGACCAAGTTAGCCTTAAACTCAAAGAGATCCTCCTGCCTCTGCCTCCTGAGTGCTGAGATTAAAAGCGAGTGCCACCATGCTAGGCTGAGCATCCAAATCTATTATTAATATTTAAACTGACAGTGAAAGCTGGGGTGAGATTTAAGAGCGGAATACTAGCTTTATATGAGAAGCCTTGGATTCCATCCACAGCACCATGAAAATAAAAAAGCTTTCAATAAAGATATCAATATTAGGAATCAGCATGTTGCTGGGCATGGTGGCACACGCCTGTAGTCGTAGCACTTGGAAGGTAGAGGCTGGTGGATCTCTGTGAGTTCAAGGCCAGCCTGGTCTACATAGTGAGTTCCAGTGAGTTCCAGGCCAGCTGGAGCTACAGGGAGACCCAGTTTCAAAAAGACCAGAAACAAACAAACAAACAAACAAACAAACAAACAAACCAAAACCCAAGAAGCAGCATGTTAATGTGACATAATATATGCAGGAAAACATTTTTTTTGGTCTTTTTTTTCTGAAACAGGGTCCCCCTGTAGCCCCAGCTAGCCTGGAACTCACTATGTAAACCAGGCTGGCCTTGAACTCACAAGATCTGCCTGCCTCTGCCACTCAAGGGCTGGGACTATGGGTGAGCACCACCACACCCAGCTGCAAACATATATTTTAAAATATTTTATTTATTTATTATTTTTATTTTATGTGTATGACTATATTGTTTGCATGTATTTAAGTGCACCCATCTCCTGAAATGCCTTCAGAAGTCAGAAGAGGGCATCGGATTCCCTAGAACTGGAATTATAGATGGTTGTTAGCCACCATGTAGGTGCCGGGAATTAAACCCAGGTCCTCTGCAAGAGCAGCTAGTGCTCTTAACTGCTGAGCCATCTCTCCAGCTCCACAAACATATATTTTAATACATACAACATGTAATGCTTTTTGCTGAGAACTGGGATTCCCTTAATGGCTCCTGCCATTTTAAGCCAACAGTCTGGGGCTGGGGGCACAGTTCAGTGGTACAGCCCCTGCCTAGAATCCCCGAGTGATGGGCTGGGGGTGTGGTTCAGAGGTAGACAGGCTGCCTGGCATACATGAAGCTCTTGGTTACATCCACAGAACCTCCTAAGTGGAGGGAGATGGTGCACTCCTATAATTTAAGCAGTTAGG